CCCCTGGGCTAGGATATTCTGGGAATTGAAGTCCACACATCTTAAAGTTGCCAAGGTTGAGAAACACTAAGTGAAGGAGTATGTAAAGTTTTTAGGCTGAAGGCTACTTTGGGGGCTTTGAGGGGTATACCCTGGGGCACACGCCACAAAGTAATGAGTAGTACCAAGAGAAACATTTGATTTCAGTTCATTTCCATCCCATTTAATTAAAATTAAAATTTGAATGTAGCTTTTATTTACCATATTCTTCCTTCCCTCACATTAAAAATTCTGGGGCAAATTTTTAAGTAGTCAGTTTGTGAGCATTTAGAAAAGAATGTATTGTTTGGCAGGACCCAGCATGGGTTTATTAAGACTTAAATCATGCCAGACCATCCTGATACCTTTTTTTGATATTTATTTACTTATTTATTTATATTTCAAATTTGCATACCACCTATCTCATGAAAAAGTGACTTTGGACAGTTCACAATAAAACAACAATAAATATTAATTAAAATACAATAAGAACAATATAAAAATACAGTAAAAACAGAATAAAACCAAACATATACACAAAGAAGAATATCTTCCAAGATGTTGATGATCAGTAAGATGTTAACATATGGGAGCATCTTCAAGGTGCTAGCCACCCCTAGGGTTAGGGTTATCTTGACCAGCTCAACAGAACCATGGAAATGTGGTGGACATAGTATACTTTGATATTAGTATAGCATTCAACAAAGACTCCCATGAGATTCTAGTTGAGACTATGGCAAAATGTTAGATGGACTATGCTATCATTAGATAGATACAAAGTGGGCTAAACAATCATATCCATCAAGTATATATCAGTGGTTCCACATGAAGATGGAGGAAAGTTTTGAATGCAAGGCTTTGCCTTGGTCCTGAACTCTTCAACATATTTATAAATGACTTAGAGGAGAGGTTAGAAAATAGAATCATCAAATTCTATTGGTGTATAACACCAAGATGTGGGGCTGATGGGGGATAGGCAGGTCTAGATTCAGAAGGACCCTGAGAAGCTAGAACAATGGGCAAAGATCAGCAAGCTGGACTTCTACTTAATATTTGGTTAGGAAAAATCAAAGCCACAAGTATAGGATGGGGAGAACTAAACTAAGCAGCAATCAAGCAAAAAGGAATTGTATCCACAAGCTGAACATGAGCCAACCATCTGATGCAGCTGCAACAAAACCAAATGCAGTTCTAGGTGCATCAACAGAAGTATAGTGTCAGAGAAATTATCATTCTTCTTTATTCTGCATTTGACAGACTGTACTTAGAACACTGAGCCCAGTTCTGGACACTGCATTTTGGGAAGGATGTTGACACACTGGAGCATGTCCAGAGGAGAACAAATGAGATGATAAAGAAATACAGAAAAGACTAGAGGTGATGGGAAAGCTTAGCCTGGGGAAGAGAAGGCCATGAGATGGCTTTTTTCAGGTTTCTGAAGGGCAAACTTGTAGAAGACAGGGCAGAATTTTCAAAGCTGTTCCAGCAGACAGGACAAGAAACAATGGATTTAAATGACAAGGAAGGAGATGTGGGTTGGATATCACAAACAAGTCCTAATAGTGAGAGAGAGACCTGTTCAATACTGTAATGGAACAAACTGCCTTGGGAGGTGTGGGAATGACCTTCTCTGGGGCTGTTTAAATCTCAACCTTGGCAACTTTAAGCTATGTGGACTTCAACTCCCAGAGTTCCCCAGCCAGCCATGTTGTTGTACAAGCCAGGGTGGCTGGATTCACACATTGTACTAAACCAAAACTCTATTAAAATATGACAAGGAGTCAGTGACTTCCCTCTGAAAGCTAAAACTGCTGTCGTTTCCAGATCCGGCCCGTCTGAGCTGTGATCTCAAGAGCAAAGGGAGCCAATCACCAGCCGTATATGGTCGCTTTCTTGGGGTTTGATAAATTTCATCTGGACAAAGCGTTGGCGCCAAGGGGAGGCCAAATAAAGTAACCAGAGAGGGCTGTCAGCAACTGGCTAGAGCACAAGACTTGAATTTTGACATGTTTGCTCTTATTTCAGAGCGATCGTGCTTGGGATAGACTGGAAACTGCATCTTGTGGCTTATTCTGAGTAAGCATTAATAAGACTTGGATTGGGCCATGAACCCTGCATTTTAAATGCTTCTCTCACCTATGGGACCTTGCTGACAAAGATCCGCATAGTCAAAGCTATGGTTTTCCCAGTAGTAATGTATGGCTGTGAAAGCTGGACCATAAAGAAGGC